ATTTAGTTTGGTATCACGTATGACGTTAAAAAGCACAGGGGAGCGATTTTAGCTTTAGCAAGGCCCTGAAAAGAGGGAATCATTAAAAAACGTTCAAATGTGTTAAAGCTGGTGCGTTTTCCTTTCAAGCAATTGCATCCATGTGAATTTTGACAAAGACAACATATTTGGTGACAATTCCGCCGAGAGGACACTTTCTTTTTCATTAGCCAGAGTGTTTGAACTGAGTGTTTTTTTTAAATTAGTTATATACATTGCTTTGACGGACCGAAGGTTGCATTGTTCAATTGCCTTTAATTTGTTCAGAGGTTTAATGTTTTGAAGTTGAACGGCAACTGCTATTACGGGATGGTTTCTACTGACTGATTTTGCATCATTTTCTTATTTTCACAAAACGTAGGCATTTTCTGAATTTTGCAAGACAATATACCATCCAACCAATCAGCCACCAAAGCGAGGAACACTCCGACTAATGAACCTTTGGACAGCCGAGACAAATCTTCCACTTACCATTTCTTCCTTCATCCCCCCCCCCCCCCCCCCCCCCAATAATCTCAGTTTGAATTTGTTTGGAAACAAAAATGCTGACGAATATTAGCCACGTAAATGGATTTTTTTCAATTATCTATTTTTTTTCATACTCAGGTATATTTTTCCACGCGACGAGGGTTTTGGGTGACATTTAAATCAGACAAGAAGGGGTTTCCTTGGGATATCAACCAACTGCGGAGGCTTCCTCAGTTTTTTCTGAGCTTTCTCCCTTACTCTTGGAAGTGAGTTCTGCGTTTTATACACCAGAGGCAGTTCGAAGATTTTTCTTGAGAAATATTCATCAATCGACAAGTTTTCCTTAAGTTAGGCCAATTACTGAAACTACATATTTATTTAAAAACGAAATTGTTAAAATCGTACCCTTTCTACATAGATATCTAACCTAATGCAGTTAAATTAGAAAATAAGTTTTCAACGCTTTTCATACGGTTAAGACATATAATTATCATCTCTCACCTATGCGTTTCAGATGTACCATGGCAGAAAACGCAATCAACGAGCGGTTTGACCACGAAACATTTGGACTGAAACCGAAGCATCGTATTTTCAGTCAACACGGTACCGCTAACGACGAGCTCCCAATCCGAGTCTTGAGCGGCACGGTGGCCATTAAACCAAACGTTGTCGGTTACACAAAAACTGGCGTCAAATTCGAAGACGGAACCGTAGAGGACAACATTGACCTGGTGGTTCTTGCGACGGGGTATAACTTCGGTTTCCCTTACGTTGATGAGTCTGTCATCACAGTGAAGGATAACAAGCTCGACTTGTACGAGTATGTCTGGCCGCTGATATCTAAGCCCACCATAGCATTCATCGGCTGCGTTCAACCGATAGGGGCGCTGTTTCCTATAGCTGAACTTCAATGCCGCTGGGCGACTCGCGTTTTTAAGGTGGGTTTGAATTAATTCGTAATTTGGAACTAATTTGAAGATGTTGTCTTACCTCAATTTCTTTTATTCTTGATAAAAAAAATGTACTGAACTCGCAAATCTGTTTCTACCATACTTCTGCTGTTCTTTAAGAATGAATATTTTGAAAAAAAAATTAATCTTTTTTTTTTTTTTTTTTTTTTAATTTGACATAGTGAAAAAAAATATAATAAAAACAAAATTCGAAATTTTCATGTTGAATGAATGTTTCAAGTTGAATTTAAAATATTGGATATTAAAATAGAATGTAAAAATATTTCAGACACACAGCCCTGGTTGAGTTTAATATCCATGTAAAACAAACGACATGTCGTATTCCAGGGTCTAATCAAATTACCCGATAAGGAGGTCATGGAGGCGGACATGACGGCAAAGCGTGACGCGATGGCGAAACGTTACGTCCAGAGTCAGCGTCACACTATCCAGGTGGACTGGGTGCCCTACATGGACGAACTCGCTACACACGTTGGCTGCAAGCCCAACTTACGTAAATAACCATTTCAACCGCCTGAAAAAAGGCCATCTGTCTTAATAAAAAAAGTGTAGAATCAAGAGTATTACTGCTCACATTGTATTGTTGTGCTTTTATATATTTTATTAAATTGTATATCCACAGGTTTTCAAAACATCAATTTTTTTAAAGAACAAACCTTTTGTATAAATGACTGTACAACTTGATAGTTTGAACAACACGGGACTGCTATTAAATTTTTCGTGAAAAATAGAAGTATTTCAGACAGAATATTTGGATAGGTGTGTAAGCACAAACTTAAACTTGAATTTTTTTTCAGTGAAACTTTTCCTGACCGACCCTGTCTTGGCCTGGGCGGTTCTCACGGGGCCATGCGCGCCGTACCAGTATCGCCTGATGGGTCCTAACCCCTGGAAAGGGGCGCGGGAGGCAGTCTTGACCACCATGGAGCGCGTGCTGTACCCCCTTCGAACCAGAAAAGCCTATACAGGCTCCAGTGCCTCGGGCCCGGGGTTCCTCACAATGCTGGTGATATTCATCGTCATAGTCGCAGTTCTCTTGAAGGTGTTTTTTGGATGAGGCAGGTGTTTGATGATGTCGATTGTAGAAACGTAGATTGTAGAAACATAGATTTGAAAATTTCGATATATTTGATACTTTTACACAAATCAGCTCTTTACGGGCCTCATGAGCCTCAATGAAAAATATTTCGGGCGACGGAGCATTCTACTACTTAGCACTAAAAATTGTTTCGTCGTTTATGTATACCAAGCTACAGCCCAAAATAACTCCGCAAGACAGAAAATGAACAGTGATTTTTTGCATCAGCTTTTAGAAATAAAACAGATCGACTTTTCACAGAATATTCACAAATACGTCTTTAAATAAATAGGCGGTCAATTTAATATCTCTGAAATTTTCCGTTTTTCCCTATATAATCTGCCACCCTGGTAGAGGGTAACAATTTAAGATGTACATATCATAAATGAAGTACTCATATTTCCTATGTCAGTATGGAGTTCTTATGCCGTAATTCAGTTATTGGTAACATAATAATACTCTTATATTGCATTTTAACAAACAATAAAATTGAAACCACTTCTTTTAGCGTGTTGCTTTTTTTGTTAAATTTTGGTTGGTTTCTTAAAGTCTCATTATCTTCCTCTCTACATGTACTACAAAATGATTTATCACTCTACATTATTACGGAAGAGAGTGGTAAATAAGAAAAAACTAAAAAACACGTCAACTTGTTCAGAGCTCTCTATTGCAGCTAAAACAATTTGACTTCTGGTTAACCATACTAGTCACATTTTACACAAAATTAATGCATAATAGGCCTTTTCCATGTGGCGATGGACACAATGCACATTGTGTTGAGACATCCAAGTCACAATGAGTCACGCCTAACAAAATTTTTTTTTTTTACAATTTATCCCACATTTAGTTTCACAGGATTAATTTATCTCCACAAATGACTGGAACAGGGGCAGGTTAACTTCTCCATTCTGCAAATAAATATGGGAGTTATTTCAAATTAAAATTGGTAACACTTTTTACATTTCCTCTTCTCAGAGTGACTTCATAGGATTTATGACATTATATTTAAGCCAATTTTAAATTAAGTGAAGATAATATTACAACCCCGCTACTGATTTCAATCATTATATTAACACAACTACAGTTCATGGGTTACCAGGTAACCGTTTGCAGTAACAAACTACTCACTTTGGTTTGACTTTGTTCCAAGAGGCAAGCAATCAGTTTGGTGACATCTGCAACATAACCATGTACCTGGCAGAAAATGAGATCATTATTATTATTATTTTAGCCTGTGACATGAGTCATCAGTCTAAAGCAATGGAATGATAGGTCTGTGGTTGGGCCGGTGAAAAATTGGATTTTTAAAAAGAAAAATCAGTCTGCAATTGGTCCTACACCTGTGGTCATTAAAAATTTTTTTGGACCAGTAAATTTTTCTCTAAGTGTGAAAAAATGGTCTGATATGGCCACTAGATTTTTTTCTAGATTTTTTCAAAAGAGCTTTTGATTTGTTTCAATATTTTTTCCGAAATGTAACTAAAACATGATGATTCTAAATCAAAGCTATTACTATTAAGACTCCTACAATAGGGTGCAATGTTCAGTCCTTTCAAAAATTTAATTCAGACCAGTGAATCCTGATTTGAACCATCCTGATTTTAGGAAGGTAGTGGTCCTAATGGCCTGTAAGCTGAAAAGTTTATAACCAAACTCAAAAATGATATTGGTTGTTTTAGATTTTTTCAATCTTCTATAACTTTGATCTTGAGACTATTAAATTTGATTCGAACTAGCAGTGTTTGTTTGTGTACCAGTCCAATTGAGCTGAAACTTGCTGGGACTTCTGTTTCAACCATGTACAATTACAAATTGTATTGAACACTAAGTCTTATACTTTGCACTCAAAATTAGAAAACAGAATGAACCTTGACCAGTTAATAATTTGGAAACACTGAAAAATACAATAGCTCTTTAAAAAACAATCTGCCAAAGAAAATCACAAGGCATCATTAATTTACCATATGCACATGGTGTCCACCAGAGTGTTTTATCATAAGGCGTTTACTAATAAAATCATTGCTTTTTGACACAGCTGCAACCTGAAGTAAATAGCAAATTCACTTTCATAAATAGCCTAACAAAAGGACAATTCTTTAATCAACATGCATTATCAATTTTGTTGTAACAAATGAAATGCTTTTCTAGAAGAGCAAGCATGGTAAAAAAAATTTACTTAAAATTTGCTATCAACTGTTGATAACGACAAAATCTACATTCATGCCACAAAGATATTTTTATGATAAAAATGCAGGATTACATTTTATTTAATTCTACACCATCAAGTGATCAGTTTTGTTTAATTACAGATGGTATAACAATGTACACTTTCAAAATGGCTAAATTTCATGAGTTAAATACTTTACTTTCACAATATGTTTAATAAATAGAATGTATACCGTAATAAACTTTCTCAGGCTTGGTGACCAAAGCTGAAATTCGTTTCTACAACTTTCCCACATGGCAAGTTGGGGTGCAGGTACAGAGCGCATCCTACAGTGAACATCAAATATTAAATACCTCTGACAACAGTTTATGACCTATACCTGTTACAAGTCCATCTAATAATAATATGAAATAAAAAGATTTCCAAAAACAAAATACCATGCTGTTGATTATAGATTACAAAAACTGACAATCTTACACCAACCCTTCTTTGCTATATCTAAATCAAGACACATAATCATGATAAATCTTTGTTATTTAGTACCAGTATATGTATGTGTACTAGATGTATATATTTCTTTATGGGTACTCAATGAAACACTTGTAACTTGCCTGCCATAAGGAAAAATCTCACTGGTTGTTTTAGGAGTATAAAGTCTCTGCAAGAGGTCAACCATCTCTTGGTACATTATATCACTTTCACTGCAATTCACAGTAGCAGCACATAACTGAACCTGACAATAAAAAATAATTTATAATCACACCAAGGTTTATGTCACTGCTTAAATAGAATATTTTATGAGTAATTTTACTTGTACATTAGTTCATTATATTAAGATTGTTTTTTCATTGACAAACAGGCAACACAATTACCAACTAGAGAAATGGTAATGCACCAATTGTATTGTATCGTCATTAGTATATCATATTGTACAAGGTCATGACAATCTATGTACCAGTACAGAAATAAATTGAATTTATTCCTTTAATCATATCTGCCTATACTCTACTTTTCTTAGTTTTAGCACACCGAAAAAAAAGTCTTAAGTCAAAAAATGTCATGCTGGCCTATTTGACCTCTGACAGGTGCCAGTGTCTTATAGTTTGACACCTGTCAATTTGTTGTTGATTTGAGAATAATATCAAAACAGTCCAGAATTGGGCTGTAGGGTAGTCTGCTTTTCAATTTTGTTGCCATCACAAGATAGGAATGTTCTCATTTTAAGAATGTNTTCGAGAAATGGATTTTTACATGAAGATTGTCCTTTAAAGTCTCATTATCTTCCTCTCTACATGTACTACAAAATGATTAATCACTCTACATTATTACGGAAGAGAGTGGTAAATAAGAAAAAACTAAAAACACGTCAACTTGTTCAGAGCTCTCTATTGCAGCTAAAACAATTTATTGTCACATTTTACACAAAATTAATGCATAATAGGCCTTTTCCATGTGGCGATGGACACAATGCACATTGTGTTGAGACATCCAAGTCACAATGAGTCACGCCTAACAATTTTTTTTTTTTTACGATTTATCCCACATTTAGTTTCACAGGATTATTTCATCTCCACAAATGACTGGAACAGGGGCAGGCTTACTTCTCCATTCTGCAAATAAATATGGGAGTTATTTCAAATTAAAATTGGTAACACTTTTTACATTTCCTCTTCCCTTTATCTCAGAGTGACTTCATAGGATTTATGACATTATATTTAAGCCAATTTTTAATTAAGTGAAGATAATATTACAACCCCGCTACTGATTTCAATCATTATTTTAACACAACTACAGTTCATGGGTTACCAGGTAATCGTTTGCAGTAACAAACTACTCACTTTGGTTTGACTTTGTTCCAAGAGGCAAGCAATCAGTTTGGTGACATCTGCAACATAACCATGTACCTGGCAGAAAATGAGATCATTATTATTATTATTTTAGCCTGTGACATGAGTCATCAGTCTAAAGCAATGGAATGATAGGTCTGTGGTTGGGCCGCTTAAAAATTGGATTTTTAAAAAGAAAAATCAGTCTGCAATTGGTCCTACACCTGTGGTCATTAAAAATTTTTTTGGACCAGTACATTTTTCTCTAAGTGTGAAAAAATGGTCTGATAAGGCCACTAGATTTTTTTCTAGATTTTTTCAAAAGAGCTTTTGATTTGTTTCAATTTTTTTTTTCCGAAATGTAACTAAAACATGATGATTCTAAATCAAAGCTATTACTATTAAGACTCCTACAATAGAGTGCAATGTTCAGTCCTTTCAAAAATTTAATTCAGACCAGTGAATCCTGATTTGAACCATCCTGATTTTAGGAAAGTGGTGGTCCTAATGGCCTGTAAGCTGAAAAGTTTATAACCAAACTCAAAAATGATATTGGTTGTTTTAGATTTTTTCAATCTTCTATAACTTTGATCTTGAGACTATTAAATTTGATTCGAACTAGCAGTGTTTGTTTGTGTACCAGTCCAATTGAGCTGAAACTTGCTGGGACTTTTGTTTCAACCATGTAACAATTTAAGATGTACATATCATAAATGAAGTACTCATATTTCCTATGTCAGTATGGGGTTCTTATGCCGTAATTCAGTTGTTGGTAACATAATAATAATACTCTTATATTGCATTTTAACAAACAATAAAATTGAAACCACTTCTTTTAGCGTGTTGCTTTTTTGTTAAATTTTGGTTGGTTTCTTAAAGTCTCATTATCTTCCTCTCTACATGTACTACAAAATGATTAATCACTCTACATTATTACGGAAGAGAGTGGTAAATAAGAAAAAACTAAAAAACTTTGATCTTGAGACTATTAAATTTGATTCGAACTAGCAGTGTTTGTTTGTGTACCAGTCCAATTGAGCTGGGACTTTTGTTTCAACCATGTACAATTACAAATTGTATTGAACACTAAGTCTTATACTTTGCACTCAAAATTAGAAAACAGAATGAACCTTGACCAGTTAATAATTTGGAAACACTGAAAAATACAATAGCTCTTTAAAAAACAATCTGCCAAAGAAAATCACAAGGCATCATTAATTTACCATATGCACATGGTGTCCACCAGAGTGTTTTATCATAAGGCGTTTACTAATAAAATCATTGCTTTTTGACACAGCTGCAACCTGAAGTAAATAGCAAATTCACTTTCATAAATAGCCTAACAAAAGGACAATTCTTTAATCAACATGCATTATCAATTTTGTTGTAACAAATGAAATGCTTTTCTAGAAGAGCAAGCATGGTAAAAAAATTTACTTAAAATTTGCTATCAACTGTTGATAACAACAAAATCTACATTCATGCCACAAAGATATTTTTATGATAAAAATGCAGGATTACATTTTATTTAATTCTACACCATCAAGTGATCAGTTTTGTTTAATTACAGATGGTATAACAATGTACACTTTCAAAATGGCTAAATTTCATGAGTTAAATACTTTACTTTCATAAAATGTTTAATAAATAGAATGTATACCGTAATAAACTTTCTCAGGCTTGGTGACCAAAGCTGAAATTCGTTTCTACAACTTTCCCACATGGCAAGTTGGGGTGCAGGTACAGAGCGCATCCTACAGTGAACACCAAATATTAAATACTTCTGGCAACAGTTTATGACCTATACCTGTTACAAGTCCATCTAATAATAATATGAAATAAAAAGATTTCCAAAAACAAAATACCATGCTGTTGATTATAGATTAAAAAAACTGACAATCTTACACCAACCCTTCTTTGCTATATCTAAATCAAGACACATAATCATGATAAATCTTTGTTATTTAGTACCAGTATATGTATGTGTACTAGATGTATATGTTTCTTTATGGGTACTTGATGATCGAAACACTTCTAACTTGCCTGCCATAAGGAAAAATCTCACTGGTTGTTTTAGGAGTATAAAGTCTCTGCAAGAGGTCAACCATCTCTTGGTACATTATATCACTTTCACTGCAATTCACAGTAGCAGCACATAACTGAACCTGACAATAAAAAAGAATTTATAATCACACCAAGGTTTATGTCACTGCTTAAATAGAACATTTTATAAGTAATTTTACAAGTACATTAGTTCATTATATTAAGATTGTTTTTTCATTCACAAACAGGCAACACAATTACCAACTAGAGAAATGGTAATGCACCAATTGTATTGTATCGTCATTAGTATATCATATTGCACAAGGTCATGACAATCTATGTACCAGTACAGAAATAAATTGAATTTATTCCTTTAATCATATCTGCCTATACTCTACTTTTCTTAGTTTTAGCACACCGAAAAAAAAGTCTTAAGTCAAAAAATGTCATGCTGGCCTATTTGACCTCTGACAGGTGCCAGTGTCTTATAGTTTGACACCTGTCAATTTGTTGTTGATTTGAGAATAATATCAAAACAGTCCAGAATTGGGCTGTAGGGTAGTCTGCTTTTCAATTTTGTTGCCATCACAAGATAGGAATGTTCTCATTTTAAGAATATTACAAATGCATAACGTGTAAAATTCAATTTTCTGCATTGAAAAGATTGAATCATTACCTTATGCCTGCTAGTATCATCAGGCATTTACAAGTAGCAAATGTTAGTCCTGTGAAGCTCAAGCTGCATGGTTACCAGATATGAGTGTTGTTAATATCTCTTGTTAATTATCTTTAAAGTGTTTTGTCTTAATTCCAAAATGCTAAATAGTTGCACTAATTCATACTAATTGTATGGTCAACAGATGATGGCATATTTACCCTTGATGATTGACATGTGTTGAACAGGCTTGGCCCATTCAGATCTTCTTTTGCTTTAACAAAACAAAATAATGTTAGTCCTTAAAGTGTTATAATAATAATAATAATAATAATAATAATAATAATAATAATAATAAATAAATAAATAAATAATTCTAATTTCTTTAAAAAGCTGAAGAGTTGTAGGAAAATACACACTGATTTTTGAAAAATATTTTACACAATCTAGTCATTTTTCCATGTGAACTATTGTAATTTTTTTAATTAGGAAAAAGTTCTTCAGTAGAATTATTTACAAGGATAAGAAGAAAAACACACAACTTATTGACACAGAAACATCTCATAAAGTTTGTTTCATAAATAAACCAGTCCAAACCTGCCCAAGCTTACCAGGTTGGTAATGTCTACCCACAGAATACCATTTAGCTGGCAAACTCTTCTCCCAGATATAGTTCTTTGTTATGTAGGCTTTGGATATAAAACATACCACATTGTTAACAATAAAACTGTGATTAAAAGCTAATGTCTAAAATAATTGAATAGTCATAAAAGCCATACACACACAACACACACAATATATATATATATATGAGGTTAACCTGTACAGCTGGAATAAAAAAAATTGTTGGCAGAAACTGAAAATGCAGACTGGACAGGAAATAAAATAATGGTGTGCACTATGCAACAGAGCACAGTAGGGTCATAAAAATGATATATTAATTTATTTATTTTACTATGAATTAGTTTATTTTCTCATTCATTTATCTATAAATCAACTTATTTTTACATGTAACTAATTTATTACCTGTGGCAGCCATGTGGCTGACGCCAGTCAGGTGATAGGTAATACTCCATTCCGGACCACCAGCCGATCCAGGCTGGGTCTTAGTGGAGCTAGACTCAGAGTCAGGACTATCTCCATCTTCAAGGTCTCCTCGGCAAGACAGAGTCAATACCTTGGTGAATTACAGGAAAAAAAATTATCTGTGGTTGAATTCAAATAATTTCCTTATTTCTAAACAAAAAATCATATTCATTATTTATATTTAAAGTTTCATTTTTTGTTATTTCAAACTTAAGCAGCTAAATGGTTAAAGAAAGAAAATTGATTTTTTCCAGGTTAATTTTATAATTTTATGCAAAATTCACTGCACTGCATCTACTTGAAGCAAAAAGTGTGGAATGTTCAAAGACCAAATTATTCACACTAATGAGATATGACAAACCTGTTCAGGATCTTCTGTGTCAACACCACAACCTTCCTAGATTAAAAAAAAAAATCAAACAATAGAATACTTAATATTATATTGACCTACAGTATATCACTAAAATGACCATGATGACATATGTATACTCCACACAGTAAAGCAGAAGCCATGTAAAAAGGAGTGGATTAAATCTATGCTAACAAAACAAGTCTTTTTCCTATTTTTTTCTTGAGTGACAATCTCAGGACAAACTTAATCCTAATAAGACTGTCTACCCACCACAACAACAGATTTGAACATATCTGGACAAGAAAGTGGGGTAAAGCCAGCTTCTAACAACTGGTCAGAGAAATGGTCAGTCAAAGAGAGCTCTGCCTCAGCCAGTCTTCCTTCCAAGTAATATGCTGTGGGGCTGACAGCTCTGGAAAGCAACGGGCATTCAAAATATGGAAAATGACAAAATGACAGATTAAACAGAACAGCAAATATCAGTAAAAAAATATAACTGGGATTATTCAGAAAATATTTGTATTAATTTTACAAACAGTTAAGGAAGAGCAACAGTTGATACTTTCTATTCAGAGCACTTGACAATATGTTCCCATTCTTCTGTAAATTTCAAAATTACCTGAAGTGTATATTTCCATCCGGGAGCCGACTTGCCAATTCAACATGATCTTTGTATGATATAGGAGGCTCTGAGAAATCATAACATTTCTTAAGTTGTTATGTGTTTCAAAGTGGCATTCTGGTCTAAAACATAATTTTAAAAATTAAATAATCAAGTAATACTGATTATATTTTTCTAATAGTATGTCATTTGCAGCAACAGAATGAAATATTAAGAATCCTTGAATATAATTTTTCATGCTTTTCATACATACCCATTTCCTTAATAAACTGATCAGCTGAAGAACAAGTTTTATGATGTTCCAACAAAATATTTTCATGTTCTTTCTGGAAATAAGACAAAATGGAAACGCTAAAAAAATCAAATTTAATCAGCAAGTTGGATACAAGTTTTATGAAGTACAGAATTATGCCTTTGCAAGAACTTCTCAGCTTATTTTAGTTAGCACTTTACAAAAGGTAAAAGTTTCAGTTACATCATTACATGCTGCCATGTCTGCAAATAAAAATAAAAATAAAAATGATTCAACTTTAAATAAAGTCTAAAATTGTCTACAACAAAGTGACTTAACTGTACAGATGTCCAACCAGTTAGGAAGTTCCAGAACTTGTATCATGATTTTATCTTCAATGTCAAGCCACTGGTCCTGAGTTGGTAGAATAAAAAGATGGAAAAAAGTTATTTAGCAAGAAACATTATTTCTTTAATTTCCTCCATGTATTAGCATCAGTTACCATCAACCATAATTCTACTGATTAAAAAAAAATTGTAAAATACTGAAATTACGATTCACCTTTAACCCAGATAACTCCTCTCTTAACTCCCTTCCTCTCTTGGTCAATGTTTTCATTCTCTTTACTGCTTCGCTGGTTTTCTTGAAAATAAATTAAGCAAACATTAATGTCTGTTTCCAACATACAAACTTACTTGCATAATATTGCAATAGTTCTTCTTTTAAGTAAAATGTGTGTGTGTTGTGAGAAGGGTTTATAGGTACTAGTAGCGGGTATCAGTTTTAGTATCATTGAGACTTGAACATTATATATGACATTTTTCAAGTAACTCCATCACCCCCTGATTATGGTGATAAAAAAAAATAATCCTTACGAGTATTACTCTGACTTACCCCTGTTGTCTCAAACTGGCCTACCAGGAGCTTAACTTTCTTTGTAATGTCTTGTTTTTCAGTCTCTACCTTCTGGAATACATCTCTGACTTCTCTAAACTTTTCATAATCCTGCATCTGAAATTAAAAGGAAACAAAATAACAATATTAAATAAGAAAAGCGAAGAGTTGCATTGTATTATAATTATCCTGGAAGCTCGAAAGAACTTGAAATATTGTTATCATAATGGGGGGGGGACTTCAGGGCAAAATGATTTTAAGATGACAAGGCAATCTATACGATCTATATAGACACTAATACATACAATTAAATAATAGAGAAATATGGAAAAATAAAGATAAGAAATGAGCATAAAAGGCTGTGAAACACACGTACTAGCATATTACCAAAATGTGTCTTTTATCAGAATTTTTCCTTAAATATGTCAATGCTCACCAAAATATCTATGTCCAGCCTCATTTTCCTCCTGTTAATATTTTCTCTAAGTTTAGGAATATTCTCCTCTGACAAGACAGCATCCACATCAACATCAGGCTTTACAATCTTTTGGGAACTTGGGTATCCCTTGCGAACGTGGAGGGCTGATGATGAGAACCTCATTGATGCTTGGTTCCCGATACTACTTAAGGCAGAGGAACAAAAATATTTTCCACTTTTGTGCACATTGAGTGATGACCAAAGTGATCCTAAACCCTGGTTGAACTTGCTCTCATTTTGTGGTGGTAAAGCATATCTCGATAAGTTCCTTACACTTTTTAAATGATGAGAGGATGAAGAAGCCTTTGTCTTTTTTTGAGACAACTGTGCTACCAGTATATTTGTAGAAAGAAGGGAAGTCATATTTTTATGAAGGTAAAGAGATGATACAGAGCAAGATGACCTAATACAGAATTGAAATGTCATCTTTTTAAAGGGTGACAGCATACATTTAGTTCCAATTAATCCTTGAGCATTCTTCAATATATGGAGATACAGCCCAGTTGGCGAAATACTCATTTTCATCTTTCCCTTGAGAATAAAAATCCAACAGTTTTAAAGTGACAGTTCTGGCATCTTAAAAAATTCCTCTGTAGTTCACAGTTCACATAGTCCTCTTACTGCTAGCAGTGACCAGTGTCCAGCTAGCAGGCTTCTTCTCATAAATTCAATATACTGTACATGTACATCCTGAGTTAATGTTGACAAGTTGCATCCTGAAATGCACAAACAGCCTAAAATTAAGTCATCAGTGTCAGTTTATTTCAATATTTTTCAAGCCTGATGCTGCAGTCCACTATGATATAAATAATAGCAACTTGCTGCTGAAAAGCTTTATCCAAAAAAAAATAATAATAAAAAAAAATTAAAACACTGGACAAAATTATGATGATAAAATTTTCTAGAAATTAATTATTCTCAATTCGTTCATATAAAAATGGTCCTAGTAAACTCAGGTTTTAGATTAGCACAATGATTTAAAATGCGAAGATGTATCATAGCAAGAACAGGGAATGAATCTTACTCGTCAAAAGATCAGTTCTTAGCATGTACAGTATATACAACACACGCGGATATCCAGCTCGGTGCTTGGCTATGTTCATGAAATCACATACTAGCATTATTAACGTTAGGACATTCAAAATCAATTACCATAGGGATCTGAATAAAATCCTTGAATATGCACTGAAGACAGAGCGAACTACCTTAGACTGAAGCAGAAATCACGTTTAACTGTGGGAGAAGCCATGATGAGGTCAGAGGGTAAAGGTTATCACAGAGGTCAATGGGGAGCGAGAACGAGGCTAACACACACCCGGGAAGTTGAAGTTTATTTTCTTGTTGCGGTCTCTTTGTTTACTGTTTTTATGTGATTATTTCAATTGTTGAAAATGTTCGAAGTTACATATTTTTAACCATTCTTATAAATAAGACAATGTTTACGTATCGTTATAAATGACCAAGCATTTTAATTTTGATTGTTTACAGGAATTGCACTGTTTGTAAACACAGCACGGCATTTTGTTGAAGAAACAACAAGACGTGCACCAACGCTACAAGCACGTGGGATGTTTTCGAACGTTAGATATTCGATCACATACAAAAGTTATTGATGGATAACTTTGCAGTTCAGCCGATGAGTTCAGTATGTAGTCTACTTTACTTATTGTCGTTTATTGCCCTTAATACCAGTGCATTTGAAATTGCCGGCAGGAGGGGCATAAAAATAATGACTTGCATATTTTATATGTAATTGCTTGTATAATATAGACGTAAGGTTGATATGTAAACTGCTGGTGATAGCTGTATATAATTTATTTATTAGTTTATTTATATTTAAACCTTATCCGCATGTTTTTCTATTATTTACTTACTTGTTAATTTATACATGTAATTCTGAGTTTTTAAAATTGTTATATTTTATTTGTTGATTACAATATACTATAATCAGTTGTGGTTTACTTCATGTACATAGGGTACATTTGTTACATGTTAAAAGATATATGTGACATTGCATATTTAATTGGGGCTCTATGATGAAAAATGTGTGAGTTTGTTCTCATAATTAGCCACAAGGCCCGACCGAGCTAACAAAAATTAAGATGTGATCAATAAGCAGACAACAGTCATATTTGCATAGTTAAAAAATTATATAAACATGAAAATAAGAATGTTTATTATTTTTTATCATGCTTTTTCTTATTTATGTGCTGTTTTACAAAACATTATGTCAGCTTCACTGCTAGTTTCAGAAGGACATGGTTTTTTTAAAGTCATAAAGTATATGGTTATACTAGTAATAGTGGAAGTGTAATTTGAATTAAAATCTTGGTGCTTTAAATTTAATGCAGGAGTTTTCCATCATTTTTTTAATGAAATATAGTCTGTAGGTGGCATGGATTTTTATGTCATATGTCTATCTTTTATTTATACTGGTGGTAATGAAATTTACAAGTTCAGTTAATCATGTGAAAATGGGGAGGACAGCAGTTTGGATGAATTTGTTTTATTCATTCAAGAAAGTATATATATATATATATATATATATATATATATATATATATAGATCTAAACATGTAAATATATTTGTCACATCACTTTGAAACAAAACACACTATTTCTTTTTGTTTCCTTTAAATATTCATGTTCTACACTAACCTGAACATCCATGCATATATGACATATACCATTATGTCCATTATGAAATCTTATTACTATAATTAGACATGAGCTTTTTCCATGGGAAATGTGGAATTCCGCATTTTTTAATTCAGTTTTGATGGTTCCTGAGATTCGTCTTGTCTGAGATTCGAATAAATGTTCAGAGTGTTTTCTTGAAACCTGACTGACTAATATATAGTTAATGTAAAGTAATACCACCTACATGAAATGAAACTGGCAAGTGGGATTTCTTGCTTGTCTGTTTACTTGTTTTAATCTAGTTGATCTGCTTCATTGCCCTTCTTGTCCTTCTTGCTCTGTCTAATTTTTACTTAGTTTATCTAGTTGATCTTGCTGTCTTTTTGCTTGTTTTTATCTAGTTGATCTGCTGCATAGTCATGAATCTTTGTTTTTTTTTTCTTTCCAAATAATTTAAAAGCTCTTTTTTTGTGGAAAGGAAATTGTTTAACATAAAAACATTTAATATTAAAACAGCTTGTGTTAAAAAATTAGGAACAGTGAAATACATAGGGTTTGTGTTTCAATTAATTTGGCTTAAGTCAAGTAAACAGACCTAGCTAGTATGTATTAGAGTTACTTTGAGAAGAAATTGAAAGAGATAATTAAAATTATACTTATGTGCCAAAATAGTTTAGGTTTCCTTTAGTGCATAAATAAAAAATATGATTAAATTCAACTTTAATTGAATGGATTAGGAGGAGCATGCATAAAAGCTGACCTAGTGTACCGGTATGTACTCAGGGAAAGGTGACTGAAGCACTACAAAAGTCATTTGATGGAGCATGTTCCAGAAATACAATGGGATCGTGATGCTATAATAACATCTGTTAGCAAATTATGACTTTTGAAACCCATCTCTGATTTACTAGTTCGCTTCCTTTTAACTGACTGCTTTTTCTTTTCAGCGATGTATGGAGAAAACAAGTTTACATTTTTTTTCATATTGCAGAGTAAAGGAATTGAAACTTTTGAGGTGAGATATAGTTCATCTGGTGTGGAGCACCATTCCAAAGACCTTCGCCAAGGAAAGGAAGAGCCCAGCGATCCGGACCATTACCATGTAAAGGACAGTAATATGAAAATAAAAGTTTTGCATTGTGATTGTTGCACATTCAAAAAGAAAACTGAAGCAGAGATTGCAGTACAAGACAACAGCAGAGAAGAGAACAGTGACACTATTTATCCAGGTCACCAAAAGAGAAATTGTTCTAGACTGCAACAAATAGGTTCACAAAGGAGAGAAGACAGAATTCTGAATCATGATTCTAGAAAGATCCATTCTCAATGTAATGATGACACTCACATGTCCCAGTCATTAATAGAACAGGCAAAGAGCATGCTGCACCATGAGAACAATGCCCCTCAGGTTAGTCCTGCTTCTAGAAATTTACCTGAAGAATCTGGATTCTGTCTCCATCAGAAGGCAGCAGGGGACATCTTTCGTCATGACTCTCTTAACTGTGAGCTTGGATTGAAAAAGGAAAAATCTTCTGGTTCGACATGTTCACAAAGAGCCAGTAGCTTTACGAAACCAAGACCTGTCCAGCATTCTCAAAGTGCAGTGCCCCTCAGAGAACAGAGTTCTTATTTCCAGGATTGTTCAGTTGAGGGTTTGAGGGAGTCCTTTAGCCATGATGGAAGCAGTTGCATGCTGTCTGAAGGTTCTCTTGTCATTACAGGCACTGCCTGTAAAAACCAACTTAACCACAAGAATGGCACTGACACAAGCACAACACTGGATGGTGACCTCTCTCATGTAAAAGGGCTTGACATGGAGTCGATGGAAGAAACAAAAAATGAAAGTTCAATTGTGCACCCCCTTGCAGAGGAATCGGGCATCCTGATGCCCGACCTTGAAGTGCGAGGTGAACCGAAACAGGTTCATGTGGCAACTACTGATGACTGTTCTATTTTTGATAATGCAGAAGGGATAGCAGATAGTATGTATGAGGAAGACATGATCAAAGGGGATTCATACATGAATAATAACACAATGCTGAATGTCCAAGGAACACAGATAAGGATACCGCTGCTCAGTCAGTCAATTTCTTCAAGATTAACCCAAGAGGACCAAGAGGTTTCTGCTCATGACAGTTTATATGAAGAAGATATTTTATCAAAGTCAGATTCTGGTGACCACTACAAAGATGTATCAGTATTAAAGGGGGTACGTATAGGTGACCTGGATAGCAAAAATCCCAGTGAGGCAGTACAGACTGGATTTGATTCCCTCAGTGTATCAGAAATATGGTCTTTCGATCATGGCTGTCAAGGACAAACCACCAAAGAGTTTGATCAGTCAGGCACAGATGAAGGTTTTGGCAATTTAAACTCTTTTAGTAAACCATACTCACATGTTTTGCACAAACTGAACAAGTTGACAACAAAGTATGACAGGGAACCTGGCACTACACTGTGTGCTAACATGAGGAGTCTTGTTCTGCAGATAGCAGATGTAGTTGGGAAGATTGCAAGCACCACTGGAGCAGCTGATATTTTACATGGACAAGACAGTCCACTTGCTGACAATATTGATCTTGTCACAGTCACATCAACTTTGTCAAGCTATCTTGAGACTTGTTGTTATACTGTGTCAGAGCTGAACATGGCTTTATTGGAAGTTGATCAGGTTGATGTGGAAGACATTTGTTACCATAGTGATCTGGAAGGTAAAGCTGAGAACAGTAGTAGGATTTGCAGTATAGGCAGCATCATGTCAGGACATGAGCAGATTCAGGACTTTTTGGTGGCATCTGAAGTTAAGAAGTATGGTGATACAAGTTTTAATGAGAATGTGTGCAGAGGAGAATCAGAGAAAACTGTGCCCAATGCCACAACCATTAAAAGTCCTGGTCCAAAAGAAGATGGTAAAAAGAATATTGAAAAATTAAGTGAACGCCGTGCAGTTGATTCTGGTGATGATGGCACAGAAACCAAAGGGTGTAAAAAGAAAATGAAAAGGAGTGTTTCTTTTTCAAAGTCAGATAGTGTCCTTTCTGAAAAAAATGATACAGAGGTGATGATGAATGATCCATTTCCAATGACAAGCACACCAAAAGAGCCTGAAAATAAAGAACAGCAAAGAGTTTTCAAGCTGAGGAAGAACTTGCATGTTCCAAAAGCAATTGAGGAGAGCCCTTGGGCCAAGAAATCGTGTAGTGTAACTTCTTCAGATAGTCTCCCTGAGCTTGAAGAAACTACTAAACCTTTTCCCCCTCTGGAAGAAACTAACAAAACAAAGGGGGTTTTCTCAGGTGACTCTAAAAACAAAAAATTGAAATATTCCAGTCCAGTAGCAAGTCTTCAACTGCATGTCATGGATCAGGGTATGGTCTTCAAAGGTAAAGCAAAGAAGAGATCCAAAAAAGGGAAACGTGGAAGACAATCAGTGCTAGATCTAAATAATAATGAAAGTCAAACTCTAGTTCCATTCGTTTCTTCAGCACAAGGTGCAACAGAAAATACCCTATCAGTAAAGACTAAAGCCAGTTTATCTAGTAACTTGTTAAACCAACAAAATAAGCTATTATGTGCCACTACTGGTACAACACCAGTGAGTACAACTGATGCAAAGAAACCTGGAAAGGCTGCTACAGGTACTACTATAGATGATGGTGGAACAGATAATATTCCTGTTGTTTTGCTGAAAAGGATTGATGATGTTGCTAATTCACCACTGCAGCCAGTTGCCAAAGAACAAGTTTTAACAGACAATAGGGCAGCTGCTGATGATAAAGAATCTGATACATCTGAGATCTGCCTTTGTTCCAGTGTGACAACAGCCAGAGAGACCAAACTGGCAAAATTGGATACCAGCAATATGGACAACAGCTCTGTTCTGTCAACACAAAAGTGGTATTGTTCAAAGGAAAATGAGCCCAAAGGAAGTCAGGGGACTACACTAAGTGGGCAAACTGATTTAGGCCCCATGAAACAGCCAATGAGAACAGCAGATGAATTAAACACGAGAGATCAGCCAAATGTAGAAGACACTACCCTTGAAGCTAATGTTAAAATTGCTTTAGCTGAAGCAGACTTAAGAACCATCAGTCAGAATCATCCAGTCTCCACCATTACAACATTGTCTTCCAGTGTTTCATCTAACCCTACCTCAGTGGCAGAAACCACACCCAAGAGAATAAAGAATGCTGTTGATGGCATGCAAGAACAAGCCAATGTGTCTTCTACACCTGTATATGTAATCATATCAGGACAATCTGATGTTGAAGGGGACAGCCAGGTATCTGGGGCTTTAACAGTGAAACATTATATGGAGGCCTCAGGATCATCAAGCAGAAAGGCCCAAGAAACCAAAGAAACTGCTTTTTCTCATACCCAACCATTGCAAACTGATGATCTGAAACCTAATTCCATATGTATGAAGTTAGGACAATCTGAAGCACAGACCAGAGTGAAACCAGCAGTTACCTCATTTCAGACTGAGCCATTGTTGCCTTTGGTAGTGCAAGCAAATTCAGCTTCAGGTGTACAAAAAACAAGCTGTAAAACACCTCTAAAATCTGAGCAATCAACAGCAATATGTAAAGCTGCTGTGGAGCGCACCTTGGATGTGACAAAACACCAAGAGAAACCATCACTGCCAACAGGGCTCTCTAGCAAGATGCAACATTCCAATCCAGCTACTACTGCACCAAAGACACATAATGGCCTGAATCCTGCAGTGTTCTCTAATGGCCAACAGCCAGCATCTCCTGTTCAAAGGATAGGATTGGGTCCTGTTGTTGGTAGCCCAATTATAATACCGTTGACAGCCCTGGGCTTTAGCAGTGCCATTACTCCCCAAACTACTACAACATTAATGTCTACTGCCAGTGCCCTATCTCCTATGTCAACAGACCCTAGACTAAACAGGTCTCTCACCATAGGTCAGTTAAGGGATCCCAGGATGAATGTGGCTCAACATGTTAATAGCCCAGCAACATCAAATGCATTCAGGCAGAACCTGATCCAGATGTCAAGTTGGAAGCCCATTGCTCACCAGGCTTACCCCTGCATACATGGTTGGCTTAGCCCTACTAAGAGGCAGTCTGGTTCTGAGGTAATGTATGTCAGCATATTGATGTGTTTAATTTTTGATGTGAATATTATTTTTGCCTTGTTCAGAGATTTTTAACTGTGACCAAGTGTATTGTAGATTTGTATTTCAGTAGTATGTCTTGAGAAAGTGCTTGAAGATATGTCTTCCATTTGCAAATATCTGAGCTGCATGTGTAGACAAATGGTTGAACATGTTCAATTAAACTACAGGGTTACTTGAAAGTGCCATCCAAGTCTGAAACAAAAAGGGACATGGTAACACAGACCTGCTTAGAAAAAACAGTGCATACGGGTAGTGACAAGAGACAAAGAGAAGCTGAAAGGTAAATGATTTCATAAATTGACTATACTAATAGGAAAATCTGTACTATGTACTATGTTCATTTCATATGTTAAAAGACTTTACCAAGAAAGTTATATAAAGGTATAATGGGTGTCTAATGCTGCAAATTCACTCACCTTATCTGGTCCCCCGTTAATTCTGAGGTGAATGTCAATTCTGTAATTCTGTGTTGCTTTTAGATCAAACATCACCCAACCTGCCAGTGAACCACCTGCAAAACTTCTAAGACTGGGTCCAGAAAAGACTGGTGCCTTTCCAAAACACCAACACAGTGTCGCTCTCACCTCTTCTACACTACAAGGTCAGCATATGGACAGCACCAGCAAGCAAGAATGTGCGAGTCTTCCATCTTCAGTGACAAGCCAAAGTCTTGGGACCCTCCCTGCAGCCTCCATAGTACAGGTTCATGGCAATTTGCCTACTGTTTCTGTTACTCTCGGTCTTGGCAATCAGCTTCCTGTTTCTGTAGCTCAGGGTTGTGGCAGCCAGCCTCTTGGCAAAGTTCTTCCAGTTTCTGTACCCCAGGGACATGACAGTCTTCCTGTTGTATCTACAATTCAAGGTTACAATTTTTCCAAAACTGCCCCCAGAGTTCAGAGTGGAATTCGTGTGCTGACTTCATCTTTTGGACAGAATAATGCAAGCATATCTGCACCACTTACAGTCAGTCCAGTAGCATCTGTTCAGAACAGTAGCAGTCCAAATGTTGGCATTACCAGCATGTTTCGATTTCATATTGATAAGGGCCATCAAAAGGTAATTCCTTCTGGTCAGAGTCAGGCCTTTCCAAATAACCGGATTCCCAGAGTTCCTGGTGTTCAAAGTCATCAATTTTCTGGAGGCCAAGCATTTCCAAGAGGTCTGGGCCACACATTTCCAAAAGGGCAACCAATCCCAAGAGGACAAGCTGGCACATTTCCAAGGGCCCAAGGTCAAGCACGTCCTAGAGGTCCAACATTTCCTAGAGGTCCAAGTCAAGCTTTTCCCAGAGCCAAAGTCTTACCGAGAGATCTTTCCAGGACAGTTTCTGGGAGAATAAAGAAACCTGGTGGAAGACATGATATGAAGACACGAGGTACAATCTCAGAAGTACATATTGCACGTGGTTGGTGATCTGTGGATAAGTTTATTTTGTACATGTCTACAAAAATTTCGTATTTATGTAATTGTAGAGATTCTAACACACTGGAATTTGGTAGTACTTATATTTTAGCACTGGGATCGTTATATCAATCTTTAGCGAAAATGGGTTTGTTGTGTGTGTGTTTGGACAGGTAGGCAGGGTGTCATGTGTCTGCTTTTCTGTACAGCTTGCTATGTTTCAGCTGTAAGTCCTTCCCATCCACTGTACCATATCCTGAAGAACTACATGTCTGGTACAGGAGAGCATGACCACACCAATGCAGGCAATGAGAATGTGAGTTTCACTCCTGGAACCAGTATTGAAACATCCAGAGCCAGCCTTGGGGATAGTAGTTCATCCCCAGAGGGAAGCAGTATTAAAGCACCCATTGCAAACCATGAGTTGGGCAGTTTAACTCCAGGGGCAAGTAGTTTATCATCAAAAACAAAACATGAGACTGTCAGTCTCATTTCAAGTTGCAGCACATCTAAGAAATCCAAGAGGCGTCTGGACATGCAAGGTTAATTTAAGAAAAAGCATTTTCTCTCTTATCTATCAAATAGTTATGAGCACATAGGTTTTATATGCATTACGCGCCTTATTTGATGTTTATTTTAATTCAAATTACAACTATTCTTCAAATGAATGTGAACAGTTGTGGACATTTTAATTTTTTCAAACATCGAGGTAGTATTTTCTCCTTTTTTTATAAGAAAATTTTGTTGTGAGTAATGATTTCATACCAGATGCATGTTCTTCATATATTACAGACTCTGCAAGACATAGCCATAAAGAAAAAGACAAAGTTATTCAAACGAGAAAGCATACTCCTTCCCACTCAACTGGCACATCTGACAACTTGGTAGTTATAAGTGACAGTGAAGATGAGCAAACAGAAGATACCTCTCAAATTCAGGAGAAACATGTAGATGAGGGGAAACCATCTTGCAGCTATGATGCTGAATCTAGCAACCCCTCTGCATCCAAAAGTACACCAAGGATGAATACTGTCAAGGGAAAGTTAACACCATCTTTACCAATCAAGGGCAAGTCCAGGACCTCCCTCCTCACCGAGAGTTGGGTACAGGGGGAGACTCCCCATGAAGTTGATAGTCCCAAAACCCCAACTAAGAGCACGTTGAACACATCCAAGCCATTAACTCCTTCCACCCCAGGGTCTCAAGGGAAGAGAAAAGGGAGACCCCCTGGTTCCGGTAAAACTCCAAATAAGACCCCTAAGAAAACCCCCACAAGCTCCCAAAAGAACAAGTCCCGAGGAACTCCCATCAGCAGGAAGACAAGGCTGAGCATATCTAGTCTGGACACTGTGGGAGGTAGGTGCTAGTAGATGAAAATGTGGCTATTGGCTGTACTGCCATTGGAAATATAGCTAGAGACAAAGTAGGGTCAAAAATGTAAACACAATGACAAAAGGGTGGGGGGAGAGGCAAGTGGGGTTTAAAAGGTATTATTATACATTTGCAAATTTAAGCTATTTCATATCATAAAAAATATGTCAATGTATTTTTATCCAAATTTATTTGATCATTATTTTTGTTGCCAATGCATATTTTAACGGTGTATAATAAATTGACTTACAGGTGATAGCTCCGATGATGAGTGTGCTGTGCCTCTTGCCAGAAGTGTCTGTTCATCTGGAGAAAAATTACCAGTAGCAAGGAGGGGATTTCAGTATAGAAAGGTGAGGAAAGTGCTGTTTTTTTCTGTGATATTTTGCTCATGCAAAAATGTTGTATTAGTTATTATTTTATATCTTAGCATTAATTTTATGAATGATATATTCATGTCCAAACATTTTTAAAGGTAGGAGACAAAAATGAAACAGCTCTTTCACTTTGTATACAAGGACAGGAATAATATGATAATCCAAAATATTTTAGGAAGCACAAATTAACTGTGCTTACATGTAACTCCTATTCCATTCAAATTTGATATTGTATCATTCTTTTAAGTTTCATTGAGGATTCATTTATTTTTTTTTTTACAGAAATGCCTTAAGTTGGTTGATAAAATTCTTGAACATCCCTCTAGCATTCCCTTCATGCAAGAAGTAGACAAAAAAGAGGTTAGATTAATTTTATTCTGCAATATTTATTAAAGATCCAAAAAATTTAATATTTAATTACCTCTTATTTCTTAATATTAATATGGGCCGAAGTCCACAAAAAACTGGAATATTTCTATGTTCTAGTCATAGATGGATAATTTTTCCTATAGAAAATTGTAGTTCACTAAAATTTAAAAAGGAAAATAGTAATTAAATTGTTAATTCATTTTAACAAAAGACTAAAAGGAATGATTACAATTTGTATATCATTTCTCAGTTCCCAGACTACCACTTGCTGGTGGCGCGCCCTATGACTCTCCAGAATGTCCGCTATAAGTTGGTTCAAATGAAGTACCAGAACATGGACCAGTTTGTGCATGACATGCGCAGAATATTCTTCAACTGCAAACTCTATAACCAGGTAACATAGACACGATAAAAAAAGTTCCAGTGCAAACCAGCATTTTGATGAAATTCTGCATCTGCATATATATGCAGCTTATAATAATCTGTACAAATTACTTAAGAATGTACTTGAAAGTTTTATTTTAATATGGTATTAAAATGGTTTGCAAGAAAGTGTAAAATCTCATTCAATTTACGGACATGGTGATATGAAATGACTTATTTGTTAATTGATTCAATATGTTTTAGCCTGAGTGTCTGGTCATGGTTCAATGTCAAGAAATAGAGCACCTGTTTGAGGCGCTGCTGGCACGGATGTTTCCAGACATGCAGTTCACAGGTAACAGTGAAAATCATTGAATCACTAATTAGCAACATTTTCATATCCAATTGAAAAAAAATGTGAAAAAAGCTGTTGTTTAATAAAGTGCTGTATCTTTTTGTAAATTAATTAAGTTAAATACAAATATAAAGATGTTTGCCCTTTATTTTACATTTTAAATCCCTTTCAATAACAATTACCCATTACTTTCAAAATTTAAATGTTTCAAAATCTGCTATGACTTGCATTTGTGATATTTCCTTAGATATCCATGGAGACCCCAAAGAGATGGACATTTTGAATGAGAGGCAGTATTCACTAGAGGGTGTTGAAGCTGAGTGTGAAGAAGAGCCAATCAGACTTAGTGGAGAGGTCAAGCGGTTATTCTTTTAATGCACCTGCAAAGAAGCACCGTGGAAAGTGGACAGATAAACCCTAAAAACAAAGTCAGGCCTTAAAAGTGATAATTTCCAGTTGCTAACATGAGCTTTAGATTTGGGAGCACAAATGCAGAAATTAATGACTCCAGTCACAAATTAAGTATCCCATCATAAAATTAGTTGCCACAAGGACAGCATTTAATTACACAAACAATGTGACCAGCTTCCATCCAGGTCTCTGACTGTATACGTAGGACCCCCAACAGGTTCATATTTATCAACCATTATGCGTATTAATATGTCAGCAATATACGTGATCCCAGCAATACCCGGCTCATACGGAACATACTGAATGAGTAGATAAGCGGATAAACAATTTGTGTGGCAACTAATTTTTCATTGGGGTACTTAATTCCTGACTAGAATCGTTCATTTGGGCATTTGTGCTCACAAACCTGAGGCTCAAGTAAGCAAATAGTCACCTATTCTATTTGTAAGGCCTGTTAGTGGAGAGGTCAAGAGGGCAATGGATCGGTTTCTAAAGTGCTATATTATGAAGCAAAACATAAAACCTTGCTAGATATTTGTCACTTAAGGGAGAATGATTCATAGTCTGAACACGTTTTTTTTTTTTCAAAACAGTGACAGACAGATTGATTTTGTGGAGAACCATTAAATATCAACTAAAACAAGTGTTTTACTTGGACAGTTGTCTAACGAGAAGTTGAAAAGAAAAAGATGTTTTATTGGTGAATGAAACGCCATTTTTCAGTTTTAGAGAAATTATTCCACCCATTCAAGCAGTAGTTTATTTTTCTTCTTCTTCTCATGTTCTTGCCTTCATCATCTGTATGGACACGTGGAATTATTCACATGTCTGTTGGCATACCTGGAAATGCCATTTACAATATTTTGATCTGTTTACCATTTCAAGCAAGTTTTAGGATAAACACATAAGAAAGTTAATTTGGCACCTCGCTTATTTCATCCCGATTTCCCAGGTAAGGGATGAAGTTCTTTCCTGTTGTTTCCAATTTTATTCCTTTTAAAAATATTTTTATTTTAGAATTTGGCATTCTTTTTAGTGCAGACTTCTTTAAAATATGTCAGACACCAGAATTTGAATCCATTATATTTCCAAATCTGTTTGCAAACAAATAATATTTTGATTAAAACTTTTATTTTTTATTATTAATAAATTTGTCTTATTTTTCCTCCGAGTCAGTATATATTCCTGGGCTAATAATCCTTGTTAACATTATAGCATCTATGAATCTTAAGCAAAGTCCACACATATGTGCATTTTGTATCTACAATATGACTGCAGATTAAAATGCTCAGGAACAAATCAACATAAAAACACAACCAAATCCATATTTATCCTTACAATGTATCATTTTATTTCATGTTGGTCTTTCACAAATCATTAGAATATATTTATGCTGCATCTTAATAGTATGAAAACATTGTTCTTAATATTGAAAACAAATTAAAAATAATATTTGAGGATATTTGGGTCATATCTTTTATTCACCTTCCAGTAAATTTATTTCTATATGAATCAATATATACGTTCCAATTGCATGGTGGTAAAAAAATGATAACAAGAGAAATAATTTCTTCCTCTTCAAAATTAGACCTTTTTAACTTGAATCTGACCATTCTTTTTGCAGCATAACAGAATGCTGACTGCATTATGTGCGTTTTAAATATTACAAACCCCTGCACATTTCTGTTTTATACCCTTTTTCTGCTAGTATACATCACTACAAGTAAAGCACTAGAACTGTTATCATGCTCTATGCTTCTCAAATACTCGCACTTTTTATATTCCACCTCCAGAAATACAGTAAGTCTCACTAGTGGGCTTGATTTGGTCTTAAAATGCAATTTAAGAACACAAATAGTCTTACATGATCTTAAAACATAAGTAAGACCATTTCTAGTCTGACAGCCAATTAAGTTGTCTCCCCTTACACATTCTCCTATTGTGAGCAGAGGTGTCCTCTATTGTGAGGGGAGGTATCCCCCATTGTGAGGGGAGGAAACTGCTTGACCACTTAAGTAGATGTTAGATCATTTTTGATCTTAAAATCAGATTCAGTCCATTTTAAGACTACTGCTGTAATGATTAAGATCGTGTAAGATCACTTGTGAACTTAAATTGCACTTTAAGACCAAATCTAGCCCACTAGTGTCTACCATTAGGACTGTTGAGTATATCATATTCATGTATTATGCATACAGTATTAAAAATCAGTTTCTCTTAACAACTATTTTTTATAAAGGTACAAAAGGTAATGGTTTGGGTTACAGCACGAAATCCTTCATAAACAAGGTCAGTGACCTACATTTAGGCAATTTGCGCCTGGCCTGATCAGTAAGGATCTTCCCTCCTTTGAAGGGAAAAAATTAGATAGGGTCAAAACCAGATAATTATTTTGGGACTTTCATACTGTCAATCAACATATTTTGCTCCTTGGAATTCAGGCTGCCAAGATTAGGTCATGCCCACATGTTGAAAAATTTTCAGCACTGAAAATGTCTCTGTGTGCTGTGTCATTCTAACACCCAAATTACCAAATAATGCACCTCAGTTTAAACTTAATTATTCATTTAATGTATACTGCAATATAACATGAGAATGTTTAAGAATGCCAGGATATTATCATTATAATAAGAATTGAAAAATAAAAGATATGAAATAGAGGATAAGCAGGAAGTCTTTGATGTTAAACATTTAAAACAAGAGTCCGAAATCATTTATTTCACTAAACTTGAACATATTCATGAATAAAACAACTGATATTCTAATTTATGCCTACTGGTATCTAGAATAAAATGTCAGTGTCCCATAATACTTTAATACATACTATGGTGCATGACTTGTATATTCATTAAATGGGTCACACACTTTGTGCCTCTAAATACAAAATATTACATTGTACTAAACAGCCAAGTGAATTTTTAACGCTCCTACTGCCTCTATGTCTGATCAGAGGGATCAGCTGTAAAATGCAAAAAGGCCTGTTGTCAGTTTCTGTGTGCACAGGTCAGCATAACAGGGGGTGGGGGCCTTATAGTGCCTTAGTCCCTTTCCCAAAGACACCATGGGTCTACACAGCTCGATCCAACTCTGCAGAGACTCCTGCTGAGAGCAGTCAGCTTAATTGAATGACAGACCTCCTACTGGCATTAAGTAAAATACAGAAAAGTTGTTGAGTATAGAAGTACATTGGAAACAAGGAGGCGCGTCCTTCAGTTAAGCTGGTTGCACTCAGCCAGAGTCCCTACGGGGTTGGATCAACTTACCTAAATCAAAGGTAAATTTCTATAGGAATGGGACCTTACTCCCCGGCCACAGATGTCGCTGCAGTCTAGTCGGTAACTAAATTTATGAAAAGACACCTGTGAGATACGAGAGGATCTGAATGAACGCTTTTTTCACCAGACATTTCCTTTGCATTTAATGGGGATGTTTTCATGCCTAGGTGTTGAATAGCGTGTATCCCTGTCCGTATTACGTTATGTAATTATAGCTTTAAAAATTAGGTCAAGCAAGGAGTCCTTCTTACTTCAAATACCCAGCTGTGATAACACTCAACCCTGAAATTATCCCCTCTGCTGCTGTGCCAGCTTTTTAGGGTCGAGTCAAGGCAGGGAAGTTACATAAGAGTAGACAGCTTGATCATCATTGGGGCCTTTTTATTCAATTTTGTAATTAAACTAGAGCGATCCCTGTGGCCAGAGATGGTCAGATATAAATTTGCCCCAAATTAACTTGATGCAAGGTGGTCATATAGGGCTTTATACTACTGAAATGATTCTAACTTAGAACCCATGTGAGCAGGGCTTTTGTCTGCAATTGCACATTGTGAGCTTCACACGCCCGTTTTCTCCTTACTGAAGATAATAAAGAGTGGTATGGCAGTCAGTCTGTCCTCTCTTTGACTGTTACAATGAGTAATATGTACATTTTGACCTGTATACAGATGGCTGCGGGGAGTTTTGGAGCCCTGCCACCAGATTTCGCCACTTCATGGACAAAATGCTCAGTTTGTCTGCTAGTAAGGCATGGACAATACTTGCAATACTAGCCATCGCCACTGGAAGAATCATAAACAGAACACTAGATGGCTGCACATGTCCTTCACCAGTACTTGTGTTTTTACTTTGTCTTCCATAGCAAAAAGTCTTTCATAAATCCATTTTTTCTCCACAATTGGTGTTTCATGGTAGAGTTGCAAACAGAATGATGATGATGATGAGAATCACAAGTAATATCCCAATGGCACACCACTGTCTTCTATCTGAAAAGAGAAAATTAATATTTTAGATGACACCATGATGAAGTTCAATGTATATATCGAACAATATTCTGAGACTACTACTTATTGGTTAAATGTACAGTTTTGTGTTGAACCTGACTGTGACCAAGACTTTTGACTTAAAAATCAATAGAGGACATCTACACATGACAAACATATATACCACATTAGGACTGTAGGGCAAATTGTTTTCTATTGGTCAGATAATATTTGTGTTAAGGTCAATGCAGCTTTGCCCTAATGGCTTCAAAATGGGCAGAGATCATCTGCATGTTATGATGAACCTCCCTACAAAATATGAAGATAGACCAAATTTTTAATTATTTATTGGTCAGACAAGATTTTTGTGTTGAAGGTCAATGTGACCTGGAAATTTGCCCTACTGACCTTAAAATCAGTAGGATCATCGATGTGTGATGAGGACTCTCTCTATAAGACCAATCCACCAACATGTGCACAGCAATCAATTTATCCCTCAAAATCAAAGTGATTTTAATTAAGCCCATTAAAACCTATCTATAAAGTTTGAACTTTTTGAGTTTGGCTGTTAACTGACAAACCAAAATAAATAAAATAAAATAACCTTCTTGGCAGGTGAAAAAATAAAAAGCAGTGTTTTTAGTACAGACTATTGATATTTGACCTTGGGAAGATATAAACAGTCACAACAAGGTATCCTCTCACTTTTAATACTTAGTCTAAGTAAATTGAAATTATTCCATAATTACAGCACTGCAAATAACAGGAAACTCAAATGACAGCACTGCCATCTATAAGGACAAACCTACATAATGCCAAAACAAATTTCTCAAACAGTATTTAAGTACTGTTGTTTTTTTCATTAATTAAGCTATTTTTATTCATCTATAGTAAGTGAATAGCCCCTAAAATTTTTTTCACAGCAGGCATAAAAACACAATGAGTAAAAAGTAGTGTTTAATTTTTATGCACATCAAAACCCTTTCTACAAATTTCTTAGCAAGAGAAATATGCCAAATTGAAAACGGTTACTGTGACATGAACTGACTTTCTGTGCTATGTAAAACCCTCACTTGTTTTTGGCAACTCATTTGAATAAGTTGCAATGTGCATCCAGCAACAACCTTACATTGGAGTAATGATTTTGCAATGTGTGTGCAGGACTAGGTCATTTTGCTAGTTTTTACAAACTGGAGTGATGGTAAAATAGGTAAATTTCCAGAAATTTGAAGAAGGTGCCTTTTCGATGGCATTTTTTTTTTTTTTTTTTTTTTTTTTTGCTGATCCTAGGATTTATTTGATTTATGATTAATGATTTGGTATGTCAACTTTATTTTAGTCATGTAAGAAACTAATAGAATGGTTTTTAAGTTTTTTTGGGTATCCACGCTCACTTTATATATAACTTCAATCAGCATATATCAATAATATATAATATCTTAATCATCACACTCCCAATTGTTATATTTATCAATGATTCATTTAAAATACAAAGCATATACTTTTAACTTTCACATTATTGGTGTAAAACAAGAACAACTGTTAAGAATATAGATGAAAGCGAGACCTACTATACATATATAAAATAGTACACTGTTGCAACACCATTTAAACAACACGATGTGATACTGCATTTGAGTAAAAGCACAGCAACATTGTTCTAAGATTTTGTAATTTAAATGCAGTTAAATATTTCATTTCCATTTGGAATTATATAGCACAAAAAACGTTTGATAAATTATTTTTGGGAATTGTACAGAGTGGGCTGTTCCAATGTTTTCAAGGCCTCGTCCCACTGTAAGTTGTGGTGATGTGTATGAATTTATAATTTTTCTGATAGAAGAGGCTCTAAAAATTTCACTCATTGCAGGTACCTTCAGTCAATATAGAAGAACACTTTGTATTGTTTAGTCTTGAAATAAAAATAAAAAATCAGTGAACATATGTATTGCTAACATATCTATTTTTTCTTTAAAAAAAAGGCATCTGTAACCTGTCTAATTTCATGTACCCATAAATACAGTGAAGTTGGATTTGATCTACTTGTAATTAATACATGAAAGTAATGACATTAACAAGTAAAACCTAATCAAATCTGAAAGAAAACACGGATGTGGAAAGCAGGGGAAGAGGTTTTTCTTTCAAAATTTCAATATATTTCAGCATAAAGACACTGTCTAATTTGTCACTAGCAATTTGTACCATTTAAGGCTGTAGGAAACAAAGCAGGAAGCAAAACAAAATCAATAAGAGCTACTCATATTCCAAGGATATTATCCCTAGGTAAACTTTTCAATTATGGTTTTTCGGAGATACTTGAGAGGAATTTGCTGGAAACCCCATCCTAGGGATATTACAAAGAGTTTTCCTTTGGGCTGATAATCAGAATATACTTCAATGTTACTGATCACCTTCAGAGCTCATTACAGGTAATTGTATCTTTTGACAAGAAGTACTGTAAGGGACTGCTTGTACCAGAGAGGACACGTAACTTATTTACATGAGAACATTTTCAAGCAAAACAAATTGAAATCTGAAATGTTTGTTTTTGTACACCTGGAAATTCAGAAATGTCCTTCAAAGACCACATTTTTCAAAAATATATCAATGTATTTGTTTATCTGAGCTGATGCAATAACAGCAGCGTTTTGAGGGTGAAACTATAATACTAGTTTCAAACAGATCTCCTTCATCTGAACAGCTAACATAACAATTTTACACCTATTTAATCACAACAATTAGGCCCCGATCAGAATAGGGTAACTATGATTGTGTTCAGCAGGGGGAGTAAGTATGAATAATGGGAAACACAGGACAAAAACACATACCTAGTGACCAATGTTTTCAATCCTTGCAAATTCTGAATTGGGAATAAATGACCAAAAATTTGGTGATTAATGTTTCAGAGATTAATTGCACTTTTTTATGAATCTCCAGGAGGACAAGAGTTGGGCTCAAAGTTTATTGTAATGACTTGCCCCATATATACCAATATATAATACGAAACAAAGCAGCAAAGCTGTCAAATGTACAAACAAAAAGCAGAAAATAGATCATTTTGTCAATTTTGATGTAATAATAAATAATTAAGGAATAACAGCACAGTCAATCAACACTGAATTTTAATCATGCACAACAGGTAATGTGGTCAATAAGATTACAGTTTCAGGACCATGAGAGTTCATATTCATATAATGAAAATCCCAACATGTGTAAAATAATATTACATAACAATTGCTTATGTGAAAATACAGAAAATGAACAGAGCTTCAGGCTGATGGGAGTAAAACTTCACACCTTGAAAATGCCACAGTGTTTGAAAAAAAAATTAAAAAAGAAAACATGACAAAAAAAAATTCCAGTAAAGCTGCTATTTGAACTTTTAATCTAGCTGTATTAACATGATATGAATAACCCCATTGAGTTTGATAATAAGGCACTGTTATTCATCTATAGCATTTATGTTGGCATTACACAAAATATTTTTTTCTTCTGTAACTTATTTGCAATAATAAATCTTCTTTATTATTTGCAATAATAAAGAAGATTTACCTGCATAATTATCACCGATTCCTTATTATGTGACACTATTAATTTAGACTTTTGCAAATTGTATCTAGCAGATGAAAAATTTGCAAAGTGCAATTTATGGTGAAAAGTAGGTCAAAGGCCAATTTTAAGATCATGGGTAGATTGCCAGTATATGACTTTCTATTCAAGTTCAATAGTAATTATAGGTGTATCTCTGCTAATTTTGGAGTATTTAACATTTTATTTTCATACTGAATATTGCAATGTTGTACTTTTTGATATAGCACAACTCTTAGACCATATGAAAAAAAAAACGTACTGCACCTACAGTATTGACAAGCTCTACAAAATGTAAATCTAGCTTCTACAGTTCCAGAATTAGAAAGAATTTTTAGTTTCAGCATCTAGTGGCTGATTCTTCCGTGAAAATGCACCTAGCGACCCCAAACTCATGAAGACAAAAAGAGACCCCAGTGTAACTCCTCACCATAATATAAAAGCAATGGTCTATTTAGTTTCTGAAAATTGGTAAAACAATTTTCAATTTGCAGAAAATTAACATTTTTACAATATTTTTGCCCATTTGACGTTGAAATAAGAGAGGAGTGACTGAGAGGCAGTATCATCAATGCATGTCAGCTGATAAAAATAGCCAGAAATAAGAGAGAGAGAGAGAGAAAGAGAGAGAAAGAGAATCAATAATGATGTCAACATTTGTCTGTCAGCTGACAAGAATTATCTGGGTTATAAAAGCCACCTACCCCAGATATGACAAAGGAGTGTGTCAGCAATCAAGAAAGATAAGAGGGAATTCCCAGTGTTGTATAAGTCCGTTCCCTCCACTTAGCAGCATGCTGTGCCATGTGACAGTGAGCATGCCACCTGTAGCAAAGATCTCACAGGGAACCACGCTGTGTTACCAAACCTACCATTGTTTCTGCATGTGCTTCTCTGCAAGTTCTAGCCACACGTAAAAAATGACTTTATGTAAGCCAAAATAGAACGTGGAAACACCATGCTCATCATGCTTAGAATTAAATTAGAGAAATTTGTCTATTCCACTATAAATATGGCTCTTAAACAAATCTGTAAGGCATATCTGTTCAGGTGTTTCTCCAACAAAGTAACAGTGACTCTTTACAACTTACTGGACACACACAGGTGATCACTGTCAGACAATACAGGTAAGTGGTACTTCTATTTATATCACAGCCTAAATAAATTATCAACTGTGCAAATGCTGTGAAACTATATCAATTATCACTGTAAAGAAGACTTGTTGCTAATTTTAGTCTGCATTTAGACAAAAAAGACAAAGTAGTTGATAAGTGTGATTTTTTTCTCAAAATTGACTAATTCAGGTGCAGCATTTTCTAAATAAAAAATCTGATTTATTCTTTTACTATCTTAACTTTTCGATTTTTAGTCAAATTTCTTACACATATCTCTGAGTCAATGTCTTCTTGATCAATGACCATTGTAAGTGAAACTGAGCCAGCAAAATGAAAATGCTTTTGTGATCAATTTGATTGTTAGAATTTATAAAATCAGTAGCTCCAGCATTGTAAACATATTGGATTTACAACTAAAAGAAACATGGTTTGACAATTTTATATGGTAAGGTGGGGATAATTATATCATTACTAATGAATAAAATGGGGTTTAATTTTGAAATCAGATAAACGAACAGACTTTTGCCATCAGATTTTCAGTAAGATTTAAATTTGTTTAATTGAACAAGTGATTGCTATCTTACCTGTGGCTTGAATTTATTTGAATTTATGTAAATCAAACATATCCTAATGAGAATTAATTAACAGTTGATAATTCCTGAATTGAAAAAAAATAGTTTGTTATTGAGACTAATAATTTATTTTTTAACATTTTAATAAGATTACTATTTTTCCTTCTTTCTTTGAGTCCGATATAAAAATTGGTCAAAAAAGGGCCATGGGAATCAGAGAAACTGAATGAGTCAAATGATGTCTGAATTCATCTTTTGTGGAATGTTGCACTTTTATCAATTTTCCTTCACAAATGGAAGCTTCTTTAGTTGTAAGCAATAGAATCAACTTTAACCAAAGCTTTGATCATGTCAGATCTATTATTATCTAATCCAGGTCCAAATCTGAGGGGCATTTTGCACCATTGGTAAAAAAAAAAAGAAAAAACAGTAAGCATACAGCTGATCATTCCATATTTAGAAACAAATAGAAATATCCACTGCTAATTATTTCAGAATATATACTTCTTCTGGTGAATAGACCATTTTTACAATATTGGGTTTTCGGCCTAGAAATGGCAAGCTAAAATTATATATCCTGTAGTTTTGAACAATATTTTCACTCTTTACTTATACGTAGTCAGTGTACATATGTCAACTATGCCACATTATCAATGATAAGACAATATAGTTACTTTTTTTTACACACTTTCTATTAAGTTTATAAACTTAGCTTCATGTACAGCGTAGGGGACCTGTTCAAAAGCTTACAATAACATAACAATAACAGCATTCTCCTACACATATTGTGTTAGTCTTTCAAAAAAAATGACTTATAATTATGAGTCAACTCAAGATGTAACCTATTTATATCTTGTGGTAAGTGGTAATATATCATTCAAGGCTAAACAAATTTCAGTTTTGCTAATAATGATTTTCACCAATTTCACATTGTTCTCTTTTAAATGACAAACTAAGCAAAACGAGAAATATGAAAGCAACAAATATAAATCAAGAAGGGACTTAAGTTATGGTAGTTTACGCTACAGACTGATACAAGCAATGCGGTCTTTATGCTAGTAAGTGAAGTCACATGTCCTTCTGCAGATTGGTCTACTATTAGATGTTACCCAGGTAATATTAGTCTGTCACCAGTGGCAGGCCGAGATACTTCCCCTCGTCAATTTTAATCAAAGTTTGCCTAAGGCATCACTACAGCCACAATATTGCCAGTAACTTCTCTGCAGTCTACAGTGCTACAAGTGACGATCAAGATCTCTCCAACAGAAGCTTTCTCAGATTCTGCTGCTGACTTCTATGTGGTTTTGCTGGATGTTCATCGATGAAAATGAACCTCCATGACCATCAAGCAAAACCCACTATAGTCAGTACAATCTACATGATCCAAGAAGATGAAGAAAAATGCACTTGATTCAGCAAAATATACAAGAACCATGAAGATTAAGAGAAAGTAACTGAAATCACCAAAACCTGCAGTATTTACAAGAAGGAGGAGCTAACCACAAAAAACGGGAAAAATTAACAGGACACTTTTGTTATATAGAGCAGTTAGGATGAAGTCAATTAAAACCAACCTTAGTTAATATGCCATTTCCATTAGGCCAAGCCCATTCAGTTGCTGAATCACAATATTGCGATTTGAAATCGCCTCTACCACGTGAATACAACCAAACGATTTATCAGTAGCACTTACCATTTGACATGTGTAACACTTTTGCAATCTTCTTCATTGTCGTGTCCATTTTAGATTCTGCATTGTCCATTTCATGACCAAATTCATCTAACATCCTAAAATTTGATTCATTAAAAGATTTGTAAATATGTCATTTATTTTGAAGTAACACACACACCTGTGACTGTGTGTGGGGAAGTACATCATGCATACATCAACTTATTCATGTATCTGAAATCTAAATTCAGTTTTGTTTAATCTCTTGTTTCATGTTTAATGGTGACGGATTCCCAGATAGAGATGAAAGAGGACCTTCAAAAAACAAGAAAAAGAGGAAATAAAAGCACTGACGATGCACAGCTCTATGTTGGGGTAAGGGTGGGGGTGGGGAGCAACAGCCAAATATCCAGATTCCCTGAAGACTTTCATCTGTACCCAAAGAAGGTGTTGGTTTGGAGGGCATCCAGAGGACGCTAACCTAGACTACTGTTCCAATTTTGAGGACTAGGATATAAGTTCTATCAATATTTTCCAAATTTACTTACACTGATTGCTCTTCCAATTCATTGTGTATTCTGTGGCTCATGTCTTTCAAGACTCCTACACTGGTCCCTATGTTCTCCAGGTGGGTATCTTGTGTTTTGATCATCACCTGGAAAATATACAGTATTATTAAATATAATGGGCACAGAATATGATGTTATATACAGGAATTTGATATGCAATAAACTACATAATTATCTACTTCCCTGACATCATCAAAAACATAATATCTACTTCCTTGACATCAAAATAAAACCGTATCTACCTTTGATGCAACCAGCCGTACACATGATGACTTAACATTGACACAAAGCCAAGTCGATGTCATCAGATAAATATGGAAACTGGCTTTCCATATGCTTCACATATATTCATGGAATAATTGCATCGTATCAACTTAACAAATAATTGACCTCATCCAAAGTCAATAATTGTATATTATTAGTTAAAATGCTTATCTCATTATCATTTAAATGGTGATTTTCATACATATTTATGTATCATTATCAGGAAAGCAGAAAAGACCTAGCTTCAATTTAAAACTTATATTATTAGTAATTTCTTTGTATTCATTTTTTAAATATCACTTAACTGAAGTGCAACTGTCAAGATATTGAAACAATGAAACTATATGCTTTCTAAC